CAGTTGTTTACTTAATTCATTGTATTTTTTCCACAGCTCAGGTGTCAATAATTTCATTCTAACGTTTCATTGTTATGAACTGACCCGAGGTCAAGTCACTGTTCATTTGAGCCTACATGAGATGTAGTTTTTGACTCTTGATTTCAGCATTTTTAGATATCCTGCTTACCGTGTTGTTTCTTGAACTCAGAAGTAAAATACCCCTTCATTGTTAATTTCCTCACTTACTTTGGCAGGTGACTTTTTAGTGCAAAATGTAAGCAAATGCGGCAGACACCCGAAATAAGGCCTGATACCTGGATTATAATTTATAAGATGAAGAGTGACAACGATTCAGTGATCAAGTGCTATAGGTGGGCTCTGATCACACATCCTGGGTCAAATCTGGACTCCGCCATCCGCTAGCATGTGTGCACCTCATGCTTTTCATCTGTCTGTTGTTGTTTTAAGGGTTACGTCAGTTGTAGGTATAAAGGGCTCAGAACAGAGGTTGGCATCTCCCTCTCTGCAAACACAAATACGAAACAAAAGAAACCCTAATATGTGACGGCTTTCATTATTATGAAGGATGTGGTTAATGTAAGATTAATGTCTTTGGGGTATAATATTTATAATCTGGCAACACTAATAATTACATTAATGGCAAACTTAACTCTGGAAGTAAAGAAGCAATAACTTGCTGAATGTCTCCCCTTCCTCTTCTGGGCAGTGCAAGAGTGTGTATTTGTGTTTGGGCCACTCACAGTTTCTTGGAAGAATATTTCTGATTGTTGTGGCTAACATTGTATAAAATCTGAAAGCTCACTGCTGGTTTTTGGACACAGATTGCTTACTCTCCAGAGAAGTGTGACACTTAGAAAAGTTTTTGTTTTTTGTGAATGAGCAAAAATTTTTCAAGTTTTATTTCTTCATGAGGATTTTCAATAAATATAGTATCATTTATTTTCATGGAGAAGCAAAACCATTCAGGAAAATAATGATTATAATTTTAAAGTAGTAAAGGATTGTAGGTAATTTAAAGTTGGGATGTTAATGATTTGTTTTTGAAGGGAGTTTCTTTATATAAAATTACATGGGTAAACATTTCAAACGTGGAAATAGTGAGTTCTGTGTGATGATTATAACCAAAAAGGCGATAAGCATTCTGAGAAATTGTGCCGTAGCATGCTAGAGAAACAAGGAGAGATACACATGGTTTGACCAACCATGATTTGAAGAATGTCATTGAGAAATGTAATTTTTAAGTGTCATTTGATACCTGATAACTTTTGAATTTCAGAATAAACAAATATCATTTAATTGTAGATATTTCCTTTATTTACATGGCAAATTTTTTGACAGATTTGAATTCATTTGAACTTAAGCTTTTTCTATGTTCCTTTAAGTTAATGCGCTCATTTATAGGTAAGAGAAGTGGATGAAAATATTTTTTTGTGAAGTCATGGTTAAACAGTATAATGGAAGCTGCGTACAAATATGTGTACGATGATGTATAATGTATTTCATTTTACATATTATGTAAATGAAGATTTAATACTTCATTTAGATTTGTAAAATATTGTATAGCTACAGCATGTTTTACATTATCACAGTAATATTGGCGTGATCTTGATTTCTGACACTTTGAGAGTAAAATGTCTTTTATCTTGGTTTTGTTTATAATAAAACCAATGTAGTCTATCTCAGCAGGCTGTTGTTTTAACAACAATCAGCATCTTTATGTTTATTTCTAAGCATATTTATTCTTGTTAACTGATTGTACATTGTTTTTGTCTGACCTGTGTCACAGGTCTTTAATTTTTAGTTTGTGTCATCATTATATGATAAGTATTTTCTTTTTAAATATATATATGAGGACTTTTTAATCTCAGTGAATTAAAAAAATCTGTGTCCTATTTCAGCTACTTCCTTTTTCACTCATTGGTTTAGAAAGATTCATACTCACTTAGAAAAGTATTTAATATATTATAATGATTTTATTCGTGAATACTTTTACTTCTGGAGTATTTCCTTTTTTCCTTTTTCTTGTTTTCCATGAGAGTATAATCTTTGATTAGTCAGGAGATGGGAATGGTGGAAAGAGCTGCAGATAAAGGTCATCAGGCATGAATCCTACTTTTGCATTTTCAGCTCCTTTGCCACATTTTCTTGAAAAAGTCAAAGTCACTTATCTTCTCTGAGCCTCAATTCCCTCTTCTCTCAGGTTGAGCTGATAACACAGCGCTACTTATCCTGTTATGAGGAGCCATTGAGGAAACTTAAAAATGCTGTGTAATATATGAAGCGTCATGATATCTTTTGCTTTAAAAATTTTTACTTATTTTAGAAAAACGAAGAAGCTGAGAAATCTAAAACTAACGGTTGACTGGTATTTGCTTCTCTTCATGTGTATTTGTACGTGTAAATATCAGAAGACAAAGAGGCACATACATACATACATACATGGGATTATGTTGTATGTTTGCTCACCTGCATACCGCAGGTGCCTAGGTCGTTCGTGCCCAGAGTAGGTCCCCGTGCATGATTAGAGGGACCCGCACAGGAGCCTGGTAGGGTGAGAGCTGCCTCCTCCTCATGAGAAGCTGCAGGTTATAGACTGAAAGCTCCATGAGGACACAGCTTTAACTGTGTGCTTTTGCGTCTTACACACAGAACCTGCCCGTGGCTGGTACATAGTAAGCCTCCTTGAATGCGTGGAAATGGGGTGCAAGTGTGAGGTGCTGCGTGCTCACTGGGGAGCACGGCATTTCAGTTGCATAGCTGTTCAGGTTCAGGATTATTTTTGTTTTATTTCTGGTGGTATATAGTTATGAATTTTCCAAAATGATCATTGTGTTATAATATTCGTACTGTGATGGTGGCGGTGAAGGGTAGGCTACATTCAGGAGTCACACGTTGCCGGCAGTATCATCGTCCTCAGAGGCGGGAAGGTTTATTTCGGGCAGTCTTGCTTGGCCTGCACTTTTTCACTGAGGATGGTGTTGAGACTCTCATGCTGCTCATACTGTAGCTAGACCAAATTGAAAGAATTCATATTTAATTTCAGTCAGGTTTTTGATGAATACATATTTTGCATATGACTATAATTGAGCTGTGTTTTAGTAGTATAAATTTTTCCCCATAATAAAAAATTTTATTATTCCTCTAAATATTTAGTATTATAGACATTCAGCAGATAACGTTAAGAATGTTGTATTAAGCAGCTTTTCTTCCCCATGTACTTTAGTTTTGCTCCCCTGTGTAGTGTATTTCTGTTTCAATTTTTAAACCCAAAACATTTTAATTAATACAATTCTTTTCTTTTAAAAACTGCACTGTGGTTTCTAAGCTCAGATCTCTTAAATTATACTTGGTCATATAAATAAGCTGTGCTTTGCAACTCTGGGTTCTTAACCTTTACTCTTTACTATTAGCTTTATGTTTTTTTAATTATAGGGAAATAGAGGACAGTAGGGAAGTTATGACTTAAACAGACTGTTATTACTGTATTCTTTTTTAAGGAAATGAAAAAATTATTTATTTTGTTCAAATCAAGCAGAAACAAACATAGAATATCTTGTCCTGTTATTTTTCCTAAGTATTTAATATCATCACAGTTTCTTTATATGTACTAACTCTTTTTGCATTTTGTGGATTGATGGTATGATTATTTATAGTTGTAAAATGTGTGTTGTCCATAGTTATTACTTAATTTTTAGAAAAGAGTGAGTGTTATTTTCAGTGTATATAAATGCATTATTTGAATAATGAAGTCATAGTCATTAAAAAATACAAACATATTATTTTAGCTTCAAAACTGAGGTTCCCTAGTCTATGAAAATAACCGAAATAGACCAGACGTGAAAAGGAGCGTTCACATGTTGAGAAATTGTTTTGGTCTTGGCTTTTGACACACACCTCCTCCATAAGACCATAGTGTTTTACTGTCTCGCATTGCCCGTTTATGCAAACATGTCCAGATGAATTCAGTGTTTAATGTTAAGAATCTTATAACATGCCAATTTGATTTGTAGCCCTTCATATCATAGAATGCTAATTAAAATCATATTTTTGCATATGTCATGCCTTTCATGTACATATGCAAATAGATTCTGTTGCCTTTCAGCTATTAGTAATTAACTTTATGAAGGACAGCTGTAATACATAATTAACAAAAATGTTTGCAAGCCCTTTTACACTGAAAGTTACAACAGTAAATTTTAATTTTTTTGCTTATCAAGAGAGCCATTTTAGTCTGATGCTTCTGAATGGGATCTAAATTGTTTTAAATAATCAACACAAAGTAATTAAATTGTATTGTACTATATGCGGTAGACGAATGCTGCTCTGTGCACTGCTGCTGATTCCTGTCCATTTCATATTTATGTCAACAGAATTGAGTTAAGTGATCTGATTTGTGTGTAAAATAAGGTAGCATGTCAGGTAATACTTTTTGTTTGTTTAAGTTATTGATATCTTCTGGGCACTTAAGTACATTTTTGTGTGTGTGCTGCAGACACGATAAACATTTATATCATTTTAAAAAACCTCTCTTCAAGTTATTACCATGTTTTAAGGAAGCTTCATGAAGGCTATTCATTTTCTGTTTTATAGTCCCTTAAATATTTAATAAAATGACATTTTCTCAAACTCATTTCATGATTGAAGTGTGGGATCAACGAGGGGCAGTGACTGTGACGTTGAGGTGTGGCTTTCTCTCTCTGACTGACTGACACTGAAGACAGTGACTGCAGAACTGAAGTCATTGTTTTGGTCATTGTTTGTATACTCAATACTCAAGTGAGATAATGAGCCAGACAATTTAAATGCAGTTATTTCTTTTGGTTTTCAGGTATTGTAGTATATTTAACCTGTATGCAAGCTTTCTGTTTAGCACTTGGTGCCATTGTAATGTGCATTTTGACATCATGTCTATATATACTTGTCTGTTTTTAAATACTTTTGTACATATTTCTAGCAGAGTCAAGCTTAGGTCTATAATTACTTTTTTTTTTTTTTAGGGTTGCTTTTGTAATGAAGAAACATTTAAACACTCATCTACTGGGCAAACATGGAGTTGGCACGCCAAAAGAAAGGTAATTTTCGTCCATTTTTAAAACTTAACAAATATATTTCCATTTTAGGCTTTGTTTAGTGAGGTGACTCCTAGAATTTTTATCAAGCCAGTTCATCATGTTTTACATTATGGTAGTCTTTTGTTGAGTATCATATTTTATGCCAGTCTCCCATAAAAATTTAATGTCCCTTTTTAATTTTAAAAAATTCGATCTAAAAATATTTCAAACGATTTGAGGGACTATGAATTTGTGAAACAGCCTTGAAACAGTAGAAGAGTTAAATTAGAGGGGATTGATCTCTGAGAATGCATGAGAATGAGCTTAAATAAATATGTAAAACTGAACTGTGTCCATTTTCATTTGAATTTTGCATATTTTTATTTTGAGGTTTTAAAATAACATTTTTGAATTCTTACTGTAGAATTAAACATTGCTGATATTAAAAAAGAAATACATCTTGTGTCATCCCCCAAATAATACTACAGTTGCCATGTCATGAAAAATAACACTACAATTACCGTGTCATCAACTGCCAGGTTTTCCTTTTTCTTGCTACTGTATCATAATTAGCTTCATCACGTAGACTTAATTATATTAGGTGAACTGAGATACAGCGATGTCAGCTACCAGGTGAGGCTGGCTACTTCTGAAACTTTAAATCGTTAAAATCTGCAGCTCACCCAGCACTCGTGCAAGCACCCTCACCTCCTTCAGGGACCTGGTAGTTTCTGACTTGCCCTGAATTCTCCAAGGTGGTATCTGAAATTCTGCAGACCCTCCTGGGAACTTTTGTTTTAAATACTGTTTTAAACTGTGGGTCATGATGCAGTTTGTTCTATCACTCTGTAGCCTTGGGCTTCTCCTACCATATTTGTAAATGTGTAATAAGTTTATAAACAATTTAAAGTGCTTTTACCAATATTGTCTATGTTCACAGGGTGTTTAGCTTGACTTTTCTATTGAGGGCATGTTGTTTTCTTTAGCATTTTAGTCTGGACGTGACTGAAGACTCAGAAATATTGGGGTGTTACATATGCTTACTTTGTGCCTTTTGGTTTTCCATAGTTTTCTTTATAAACATTACGTTTAAGCTGAGCCAAAATTTATGTGTTGAACAGATCCTGAATGCATCATTCTTGAAATTCAAAAGATTTTGTGTTATTTAAATTATAACTTGGGACTTGTCAAAGTTATGTTTCATAAGTCTTTAAGAAACAAAACATTTTCTTGTGGGGAGAGTATAGCTCAATGGTAGAGCATATGCTTAGCGTGCACAAGGTCCTGGGTTCAATTCCTAGTATCTCCATTTAAATAAATAAATAAATAAATAAATAAATAAATAGATAGATAGATAGATACATAGATAGATAGATAGATACCTAATTACCTACCCCCCAAACAAAATTTTAGAAAAGATACAAAATATTTTTAATTGCTGTATTCTTGTTGCTTTCACTTGCATTATCTCAGTTAACCATTGTATGACCTTAGTAGTGGTGCCTTATCAGACTAGTATCACAGAGGTAAAGATAGATATTCAGGAATATACAGGAATTTGTTCAGTATCTCATAATTAATAAGTGTTAGAATTGTTATTTTTCTGAGTAATTTCTACTGCTCTTCCTTGTTCTGATTTTATTGTCTTGCATTGAGAATCTTCACATATAGATACTTAGGGTGTTTTATTCACACAATAAATTTGAATGAAAATAATCCAGATCAATTAATTAGTAAGAAGAAAATATTTACCTACTATATAAGTAGGATACATTTTGAATTCAAATGTATCATTTTTGCTTTTTATTTAGAAATTTAAGCAATTTGAATGTGTTTGTTCATATTATTTCATATTAAAGAAAAAGTTATCACATTATACATATGTTTATCCTCCAAGCACCTTAAAGATACAGATACCTTCTGTATCTGATGGTAGGAGTGTGAAACTTCCAGTTGTGCTCAGGTTTTCCATTTTCCTTTTCCTGTGCATTCCAGGATAACTCTCTTTTGCTTTCACTCATTTCAGTCCCTAATACAAAAATGGAGGCTAAAAAGAGGCATGAGAAAGACTGCATATTCTCCTCTATGAGGTGTCGTAAGCGTTTCCTCCAACAGTAACATGATTTTTGTCCTAAAAGCAGGAGGTGAATCTCAAATGGGAAAGTGTCTCCCCATTTGCTGGGTCATTACCTTCTAAGTTGTCCTAGTGTGGAGTTCATCTAACCTGGACATTAGATTGAATTGTTTTTCCTGCTAGAAATTCCATGTTTCAGAGGACCTCTTGTTTATGGTATCTGCTTGTAGGGCATTCCCTCTTCCTGCACAGAAAGACTGAGCTGGAATGCCAGGGCTTCCACCACAGCAGGATTTCCAGTAGCGGTCCACAGCTCGACGAGACCAAGATTTACGTAGCAAAATCTAGCACATTACATGCCCAAAGACTCCTTTCTTCCAGTCCACCTGCCTCCATTCCTTGGAGAGGGAATTGACGCCTTTGAACAGTTTTAGGAAACAAAGAAACTCTTTACCAGCATGTTCAACCTTTACTTTGGGCATAATTGTTGTCTAAATTAAATTAAACATTTATTCTTACCTACTTAAAACATTAATGCTTTGGCTATAATTTTGCAAGCTTGCTCTATTTTAATTTCTTTAGGACAATGTAATCAGTTTATTTTTTATGTTTTGAACTTAATTCTTTCCTGTCATGCATTGCACATTGTAGCAAATAGTAAGAGAAGTTAGCTAAATAGGCTGTGACAATTAAATTAATAATACATTTTGTTTGCAAGTATTTAGGCCTTGTGCTTTGACTGATACATGCAAAAATGATAATTTATTACAAATAAATTCATATTCTTACACTATAGTTTGATGAACTAATAAATTTTGTCAGTGTGACTGTCATAAGCAACAGAAAACTAGTTTCAGATTTTTTTGACTCCCTGAACACCTGAAGTGATGGCTTGTGTAAGAACATAATTTTTATCCGTAAGTTTGCATGGCCTTATTTTAAGGTAGTATATAGCTGTGTTTCTGAAGTCTTATACACTTAAATACAGACTACTAAATATAGCCACATTTGGTTCACATTCCAAAATAATAAACTCCAATTAATTTGCAAGTTCATTCTGAAGTAGTCCCTATTTTAAATGAGTAATTCTCTTTGTAATATAGTAAGCCAGAGTAGCTTTATGACTCCTTGAATTCGCTAATAGTAATCTAGAGAACCAGCTTATCCACAATTATAACAATTGAAACAGCCCGAATAAGTATATCTTATGTGAAAGCCAGGTGCATATTACAATGGGGAGAGATGGCATTAGGGCTTCAGTGCTTGGCAATCAGCTGGGCTTTGAGTGACCGTGTAAGTAGGAGGGGGAAACAATTCACGCAGAGTTTCTGACCTGATACATCGCTCTTGTGGTGTCTGGGAGACACCAGGAAATGTCTACACTGGTGGTCTCTCAGAAGGGCAACTGTGCTCCCCAAACCAGTTTTACCAGTAAAAGTTTTAAACTGGGTACCTGCATCAGAGAGTCTTAAGAGCTAAATAATGTACTTGTTTTTTCACATTATTAATGAATATTAAGATCAAAACCTTGGTATTTCTTCAGTGAAGCAATTTTTGGGGAGTTT